AAAAAAATGATATGAATTTAATTTATAGATTTGATTAAATATAGAACAAAAAAACAAACTTTATGCTTTTGTTTGACTAATGCACGATAGGCTTCTTTATCTGTTTTGTCCATTTGTTGAAGACGAACTTTTGCTTCCTCGATATTATATGTTGCTGATTGATCTTCATCATCCGAATGAATAATCGGCTGATTTAATAAAATAAATTCAAGTTTTATTAGATTTTATAAGATAATAATTATAAAACTTACATTTCCTTCATCATCATATTCAATACGTTTATTAATAAGAAGATTTTTTTTTCGTAATTTTTTAGCTAATTTAGCTTTAGTTAGTTTCTTTTCTTTTTGTGATGGAGTTGGTAAATCAACATTTATTCCTTCGAGTGTATCAGACTTCTTTTTAACTGTAAACCAATCGTTATCATCATCTTCATCATTTTCATCGTCATTAATATTTTTATGATCCCCATTTTCCATATTCTCGTTGTTTTCAATAGATGATTTATTATCATCATCACCATTTGATTGTTCTTGTTTTTGTCCTTTTTTCATAAAACGAACTTTTGGAGCAATTTCAAGTCCTAATGAACTAGAAAATAAATTCAATGAGAAGATGCAAAATGAAGTTAAATATCATACGTAGCAAAAGCATCTGTATCAATTGTTTGAACATCAAAAACTTTTCGATTACCCATAAGAATAAGTGAACGAAGATAAGAAGTAAATGCCTAGAAGTTTTGAAGAAAAATGTGAAATTTTGAATATTATTAAAGATCTATTTACTCGTTTTGCTTCTTCTTTAAGTTCTGTAAATTGTGCACAGAGTGATTGAAGTTTTGGTGTTAAATCATGAATATAATTTGCATTTACTCTACAATTTAAAAAATTATTTTATTAGATTTAATTATGAAGTTTTGTGCGTTTAATTTACTCGATTTTTTTTACTGGAACTTTTTTATCTTCTAACTGTTTAATCATTCCTTGTTCTTCACGAGCTGTTAGAATTAATAAAGCTTCTCCACCTTGTTGAAATCTATTTCATATAACAAACAAATTTTATTTTTTAATAAATCAAAAGTTCTTATTTACCGTGCAGTTCGTCCAACTCGATGAATATATGTATTAGCATCTGGTGGACAATCAAATTGAACAACCCAATTTATAGATGGAAAGTCTATGAAGAAAAAAAATGTAGATAAACTTAAAAATAAGACTGATAGAGGAATTTACCTAATCCTCTCGCAGCAATATCAGTAGCAAATAAACATGCATGTTGTTTTCGACAAAATTCATCATAAACTGACATTCGTTTCATTTGACCCATTGTACCATATAGAGCAAGTACTGGTAAACCAGGACGAAGTTTACACACGATATTATAGAGAAATTTCACCTATAATCAATAAATTAAATAAATAATTCTATATATTAAGTTTAAAGTTTTTTTGAACCTGTTTACAACTTTGTATAAAGATGATAATCTTTGATTTGAGATGATTTTTAATAAATGACCAAATTAAACTAATCTTTTGTGGTACTTCACAAACAATATAACTCTAAAAAAAGTAAATAAACTTTTTTGTTTTGTTATTACTAATAATTGATTTTACTTGTGTAAGATTTGTTGGTGTGCTTGTATTTGATTTCTCATGAACAGATACATAAACTGGTTTTTCTAAACTGACTAATGCTAATTCACGAATTGATCTATAAATCAAAAGCAAGATAAAAATATTTAGTTTAATTCATAAACAAACCTTGTTTGTGTAGCAGAAAATAACATTGTTTGTCGTTGATGAGGTAAATTCGATACAATTGAACGCATTGTTTCAGCAAAACCCATATCTAATGTACGATCAGCTTCATCAATAACTATTTCGAAGAAGAAAAAAAAGACTTTTTAGTGAATAAAGATAATATATTCTTACTAAGCATTTTTAAATTTTCACATGAAAAATTCCATGTTTCATCAAAATGTTGTAATAGACGACCGGGTGTACATACAATAATATTTGTACGATTTATACGTTCTTGTTCACCTTTTAAATCCTTAGAAGAAAAAGCAATATTTTTATAAAATTAAAATTATCAAAAAGTTTACTTTTCCACCAATAATCAATCCAGCAGAAAAATCATGAAATTGTCCTATCTTTTTCAACACTTCAAATGTTTGATAAGCTAATTCACGAGTAGGTGATATGATTAAAATACCAAGTCCATCATTCATTGTCCATCGAACTCGATATAAACATTCAAGAACCTATATTATAATTTATATATACAATTATTCTAATAATTACAAAAAAAAGGTGTAATATACTGGAATGAGAAATGCAAGAGTTTTTCCTGAGCCCGTCATTGCTGCTCCAAGAATATCATGGCCTTGTAATGCAACTCCAATAGCTTCTCTTTGAATATCAGTTGGATTTATAAAACCAGCTTTTTCTAGACCTGAAATTGTAGAAGTAAATTAATTTAAAGATTTCACAAGTTTCATTTTTACCATCAAGAGTTTTTCGACTTAATGGAAAATCATTGAAGGTTTGAATAGATCCTGGATCAATCTAAATAAATAATAAAGTGAAGTTTTAATTAAAAACGAATTTATGATTCTCTAAATCAATTGAATAGTTGTTTAAAAATGATACCTGTTTATATTGTCGTGCAAGTTGTTGAATTTCTTGATCGATTTTTTTCCATTGTGGAATACGTGATGAATAATTTTTTATTTTTATTTTCTGTTGATCATACATCTGAAAAAATTAACAAATGATTTTTACTTTTTTTTCTAGAAAACTAAATCAATATTCTCATTAAAAACATGAAAAAAAGAAAACTTTTTTATTTTCGAAACACAAATGTTTATCTATCTACACAATAACAAAAAAAATCTCTTTAAATTAACTTTGTTAAATAACATGATGATGTATTGAAACAAAAGTATAAAATAAAGTCATAACCAAACAACAATTGATGAAGAACGAAATTCAATATGAACTGAATCCTCTTGATAATTATTTTGTTTCAGCTGTGTATTACATGATTGTATTAGTTGTGTTTTAATAACTTCAATTCCACCTTGTTTTTTCATTTGTTTCGAATCGATTGATGAACTACTATCAATATGTAAACAAATAAGATTTGTTTGATGTTTGAATATGCATAATAGAAGTTCATTAATTATTGCTAATAAACGTTTTTGATCTGGATGAAGTGATATTGACAATGATTTAATATTAGAAAAAACACGAAGTATTTTTGGAATATCTCGACGAATATCCGAGACTGTCCATACATAATCAAGATTAATTTCAAGTTGAGATATACATTTTTGAAGTATCTGACATAGAGTTCGTTGAGGAATACGTATTATTTCAAGTAAATCTTCAAAATATAACATTAATTGTTTAAGATTTGGTGTAACATGTACAATACGTTCAAAAAATCCGAGATCATGATCTGGAAGAGCAAGTAAACTTATACAAGATACATGACGTAATATCGGTAACGATGATTCATATGAATTAATTATTTGTACATTATCATCTAAGTTATCTAAGAAAGAAAGAAAAGTTTTAGAGTTAAACATCTATATAAGTAAGGCAGAACAATTTTTAAATTAATAAATTAGAAGATTATCTAAAAATAATGAAATTATTTCTTAAAATAGTTATATATTTGTCAATTATTGCCTGCAGACGAGTTCAGACACATGAGAATTGAGTTATCATGTCATCCGCTTGACAAAAATATGTTTTCACTTACACTTCTGCCATTCCAATGTATTCGTTTGTTTTCTTATAATCTATGACTTTACATTCATGAGGATAAATTTTCTTTTTAATACTTGTATATAATGACTGTTTATTATACGTTTCAAAATAAAAGATTACACTTACTATCATCAGTTTGATCCATAATATCTTCTTCCTCATCGGTTCCATAGTTTTCTTCATCATCATAAATATTATTTAAAGAAATTGTATGAATATTTGGACAACGTTTTAGAAAAGGTATCACATTAATATCACTTGTTTCACTTAAATCTAATTGTTTCACTTTTGAAAATATTCTTAATTTCTCGTTTGTTAAAAGATTTTCATTTGTACATTTATAAACATCAAAATTTACAAATGGAAATGGTACTGAATAAATATGAAAATAATCTGAATTTAAATGTTCGTCATCGATATGCCAATAACATTGTGTATACCATTTTTTTGTTTCTAACCAAAATGATGTATAAAATGTTGATAATGTTCGTTCTTCTAATGTTGGTCGAAAACAACTTATAATTGAAAATTGAAATGAATCAAGTGAATAAACAAGTGTTTGTAAAATATCACCATCAAAAAATCTTCGACATTCAGTTGTTATATCAAGTGAAAGTGATTTTAAATTTGGAAAATATTTTAAAAGTTCTGTAATAGTATCAAATTTAATTGCTAAATCTTCAGAATGAAAATAAAATTCACGAAGATTTAATAATGGTGGAAATGGTTTTATTGAATAATCATATGTTGAATAAGCATCATCAATATGTACATTTAAATATTCAAGATATGGTTGATATATAAGAAGTAGATGTAAACTACTTAATGATCGAAGTGGAATTGTTAAACGTCGAAGTACAGATGAAAAATCCGTATTACTAATACTTGTTAACTAAAAAAAATTATATAATTTATTTATTCAGATAAATAATTGTTCTAAAATCCAAGCAGTCTAATTTCTATGAAATACGAAAGACGAAAGCAAGAAATTTTTCAGCTACATTTCAAGTTCTACATGATCTTATATTACATTACAAGTTTTGAAAACTTTTAATATGAATACAAATTTATCTCATGTAAAAATGTATTTCTATAAATAAATGATCCATTCATCAATACTAAACAGGATAGCACTACGCTCAATAATATCTTTTCTAAACTTATCTATTATTCAGAAACTTATGAGATAGTTTTATATAAAGAAATTCTATTCTTACATTTGATTCATCAGTATTTGATAACGATAAAAATGATAAATGACTTAAATCAAATATAATTGCACCACGTAATTCAATTGTTTTTAATGTTGGATGATGATAAAAAAGCATTTGTGCTATTTTATATCCATATAATTCTTGTTGATAAGTATAATCAGTATCTAAACATTCGATAATTAATTCTCCGACGATACATTTATTCATCAATCGATTAATAAAAGTATAAATTTCATATGTATTTAAATGATATAAACTTAATCTTTTTAAATTCGGTGGTAAAATGTCTTGTGTATTATTTAAAAATAGTGTTGTTAAACAAGGTATTTGAGAATTGTCTATTGTTAATGATTGTATTGATGACCAAATTGATGGAAGAGTAATTTGAAGAAGAGAAAGATAACGTTTATATGAGATCATTGATGCTATATGAATATGTTGAATAAAATCACTAATAGTTCGATTTAATCGATGATTAAGACCAGCAAATGATAAAAGAACATCAGTTGAATGTAAATAACCACATATTTCAAGAATTATTTCATCGGGAAAACTTGTTTCAAAAGACATCTAAAACAAAAGAAGAAGATTGAATTCATTTCGATTATTCGCTATCAGTAATAAGCTTCATTCAGAATGAGTTTATATTAATTGTTTCAATTGTATTCATAAGATTCAGTTTAAATTTTCAATTCGATCAGTAAATGTTTACTTTATTTCTTTTTATTAATCTAAAAATGAAAGCGAATTAATTTATCATTTATAAGTAACTCATATGAAATATTTTGTTTAATAGAAAACTGACTTTCAAGCCATTCAGAAAATTGATTATCAAAAACATCTAAATCTCTAACAACTAATGTTAATGTTTGTATTTTAGGAAATGACAAAGGTACTATTCGAACAAGTTCTAATATTATCTCATTGGTTAATATTTGAGTTGATGGTATTAAATGTCTTAGTCTTGTTGCTAATGGAGATGTTGGTGAATAAATTGCAAAAATTAATGTTAAAGTTTTTAATGAATTCATTGATTGTGTCTGTAAACAAATATACGATCGATGCGAGAGAATTAATGAATGAAGTTGTGGTAAATTTTTTAATAGTATATTTATTAATTGTATTGGATACTGATGTGTTTCTTCTGGAAAATCTAATGATGTTATATTTGATAGATTAATTATATTTTTAAAATTATTAAAATATTCTATTGATGAAAATTGTTGACAGTCACTTGTTAAATTTGAAAGAAAAATAAGTTCATTAACATTTGAAAACTTTCGATATTCATTTTTATTATCTTTTAATGGAGTAAGATCATCATGTAATGTTAAAGTTAGTCTAGTAACATAACGATAAATTGATTCAACTACTGATGATGATAATGTACAACGACGAATATTATAAAGTGTTGTTTGAAAATTTTCAATAGGATATGGTATTGTATGCAAAACAAATTTTAAACGATCACGTTCATTAACATTAAGGGAAATATTCCAATTATGATCGTGAAAATATTTTGATTCATTAAATGGTTTAATGATATTATCAAGATCAGTATTTGTTGTAACTTCATAATTAACAGGAATTCGATCCAGAGAAACAATTAAACGAAAATGTTTTAAATTAGGAAATTTTGATGAAAGAATATTTTCCCAAGAATCACTATTTGCATAGTCAATAGACCATGTCGAAAGTGATAATTGACGAAGTTGACATGGTAAACGATTAAATAAGATTTTTGTAGCTGTTATTAATGAGATTTGAGAAAGTTTTGCTCGAAGATAAATTAAATGAGGTACAAGAATAGTAAAATCATCAATTGTAGTAAGAGATGGAATAATCATTCTAAAACAAAGAAAAATCATTTCAATATGTTTCAAAACTGAATTAGAGAATATTGCTAAAGCTTATAAAGGACATGTTAGTTTATATTATAAAGAAGAGCAGACATTATGTTGGATAGTCATAAATATCTTTTAGAATACTTTTTTTTAGTCGATAAAATGGCTTACAGCAGACTTGGAACCGGTCCGGCAATCCAGTTTCGGTCCGGCGGCACCGGACAAGACCGGACGAAAAATCTAGCCGGACAAACCGGACGAAAGATCTAACCGGACAAACCGGATAAAAAATCTAACCGGACCAGACAAAACCGGATTTTTGCCGGATTTACGTCAAAAGTAGTCCGGCCGGACCGGATGAAAAAAATCCGTCCGGTTCCAACTCTGGCTTACTGTAATCATAAATAAACCATTTCATGTTATAGAAATTTTGATATGAATTGAGTCTATGAGCACGAAATCTATTTATTATTATGTTCGAGAATCAAAAGAATAATCTGAATTTTTTCATTAATATAGAACAGAGAAGATAGAAGTTAACTTACCCTTTAGGATGTGAATCAAATAGACGAACAGTTAAATGTCGAATATTAGGTATAAAATGGAGTAATCGAATAAAATCTTTTAAACGACACCATTGATCGATAACTAATGTTTTTAATGCTAATGCTTTATTTGTTGTTTTTAAATGATCAAAACTCATACAACCAAAATCTTGAAAGCCCAAATAACAATATAATAATGAAGGTATTTGTTCGCTAAAAAGAACATTTGTTAATGAATTAATATCTTCATCCTTTAATATAAATTGTGAATGTAAACGTAAAGAATGCAATTGTTTTAATTCAGGTAATATATTTGTTGCTAATAAATCAATATTTTCTGTACGTAAATAATGAATTGTTAATGAATGTAGATTTTTATAAATATGAATTGAATCAAGACGCGTATTAATATCATCAATATGAAATGATTCAATACGATTGATTTCAATATTTGGTAGAATTGTATTAAGATAATAATTGAATTGATCTTTATTTGTATACAAAAGATTTAAACGACAATGTGTCAGACGAAGAATTTTATTAAAACGTTGATTGAGATTTAAAAATGTATAAAATAAATCAATTGGTGATATATATTCTAAAATGAGCCATAAAAGCTCATTTGGTAAATCTTCTAATTGATTTCTCATCGAAAGAAAAATCTAAAACATTAGAAAATATTTGAATCTAATCAAAATTATCGATAGTTTATTGTCAATTTTCACTAATTTTTTTAAATAAAAAGGAAATGGTCCGGATTATTACAAAAAAAAATAAAAATATTTTTTTCTTATAAATTAAATTCGTCACTGAATTTAAGTCACCAAACGATAAGTTATATAACGACCAGCAGTTTCTGAAGCTCGAGTTATTCGTACTACCTTCAAAATTTATATAAACAAAACTATAAGTTTATAATCATTTCAACTTACTTGACCACGAGTTAAACCAAAATAACGAGCAACTGGATCACCAGATTGAATACGTGGTAATTGATTTTCTTTTAATCGACTTTATTTTAGATAAATTTATATTTTAAAATAATTATATATGTTTTTCTTCTTACTATCTTTGTAATAATTCTTGTTTTTCTTCTGGTGTTAAAATAATATGCTTTGGAACAAGCTAATAAGATAAAATCTCAAGAAAAAAAATATTCTAAATAGAAAATTCTTACAGTATGTTCTGTAATATTAACTAATAATTCATTTTCAAGAAATACTTGAAATCGAATTTTTCGATTATCTAATTCGTTTGATATTACATCTCGAGCTACTGGTGTTAAACCTGTTTGGACAACAAGTATTGTACTTGTAAGATTTTCATCTTCCATTTTTCTACAAAATTCTTTGACTTCTTTAACACCAAGTTTAGGTTGATCACAAAATCGTACAATTAATGTATTTGTAGGATCATCATTATGTGCAACTAAAATATTTAAATGTGATCGAGCTGGTTTATTTTCACTAAAGAGTATAATAATAATAATTTATTTTATAGAATTATATCATTTACCTTGGTTTATCACCATAGGTATCTTTAAATTGCTCAAATGATTGATCAAGTTCTTCTTGACTAATGAGATAACCACGATCATGACAAATCTTCGTAAAGAAAAATAAGTTCATTTTTTGCTAAAGAATATATATATCTTTTTACTTGTAATGATGTACGTCGTATACGCCAAAGATTATAAACTAAAGCTTCATCATCCATTTCGTGGTTGAAAATCAATAGAATCAAAAAGAAAATAGCTCGTTACTAAATATTTTGTAATATATATATATATATGTATATATTTCATTAATAAAGTCAGATTTTATTGGTTAAATATACTGACTAATGAAATTAAATCCCAAATAGCGACATATTTTTCTTATCCAACATTTTCAGTTCTATTATCGTACACGTGATAGATACATTAGAATATATACTACGATTGATTTTATCTATGATTTTAGATGGCAACTATGACGAAAAATTTTCCGTTATTGAATGAAATTGATGATGAACTTAATTTGAATAATATTGATTGGAATAAAAATGCTTTTCAAACATTACTTGTATGTATATATATATTACGAAATAGATAATAAATATTGAAATGTTTATTTTTTCATTAGACATCTAATTTACCGATGACAACAATATTTTATTATGCTATTGATGTTGGCCTTCGACGATTAGAAAATAGTTTATATGAACCATATTGGGATGTTACAGCTGATGCTTTGAATGAGTAAAGAAGACATTTTCTTTTTCCCTCCGATCATAAATCATCTTTATTCATTTATTGTTAGTTTGTCTGATTTTTTATTTAATACACCAATGACTGATGATATTAATTCATATTTATATGAAGCTAAATGTCAACTTTTAATGTATGCATCTATTGCAACCATAAAACTACATATAATTGTATGTATTCAACCTTTTTTTATTTATTTTTATTGTTGAAAACTTTTTTAGAGACGTCTATCAATAAATGAAGCTAAAATGTCTTGTGCGACTATGTGTTTATTATTATTAGAACAAAGTAAATCATATGAAACTCCATCAAATAAAACTGAATATTCATCATGTATTCGTTCAATGCGTTTTCGATATTTAAAGCGAATATTGATCATTGGTAAACATTATTATTATTCTATATTTTTAATAGATATATAATTTTAGGACAATGGTTACCAACTTTATCTAAAATACGATTTAATGAAATATATTCTAATTATGAACGATATGTATGTGCAATTGAATGATATTAAAAATAGAATAATTTGTGAATATTTAGATTGAAACAATGATTGATCAATTATTTCCAACTGTATCTTTAAGAGATAAAATCAATGGATTCATCGAGAATTGTTTATTAAGTGATGATACTGCAGAAGATGACGGCTTGGATAATGATACAACAAAAAATGATTTTGTATTCATACAACGTTTTCCGAAATTTAATGAAAAGACTATTGAGAAACATAGTGATCTTATGCATTTGGGACTTGTTAATACATTAAATCAATGTAAGATATAAGATAAAACTCGTTTATATGAAGCATAAAATTAGATTTCGATAGAAAATAAAAGGCTTAATTTTTAGACATGCAAATGTAATTAAGATTTACTCTAATTTTTTCAGAGTTAAAACAAAAATAGGTAGCTTTCAATTATTAATAACACATAGCGTGATAAGGAATCATTTTTTATTTATTGGCACGAATTGATGAATATTTCATAAGAATAATTATTTGCTTAAAACTAAAATATTTAAACTTTCAACGTATTCTTATATTTAGTAAATAACAATAATACTCGAAAATTAATTCATTGTGTATGGATATTAAGTTGTATGATTGAAGCTGATCGAGTATCACTTGGAAGTAAATTAAAAAAATTATTTTTTAAACAATGTATTAACTTGTTTTTCATTAGGTTTAAGTCATTGTATAACTCGTGAACATTTTTCTATTGAACCAATTGATTTTGAACAAAAACCAATAGTTATTGAATCATTAAACGAACGAGATCTTATTGTAAATTGAATTTATTTAATTTGATTGTCAAATACATAATTCTTTTATCATTTAATAAGGTTTTTCTTCTTTTATGTGCTCAACAAAATGTACATGTCTATGAAAATGATTCAACATTACATCCATATTTATTATATTCTTCATCGCATTTATGTACACAAAATCAAAAGAAATGGTGGCAAACAGCAATGGAACAAAAGTAAACATATTTTTTTTATTAAATTGTGAATTAGTTTGAAATTTTAATATTTAGATCATCAACGGACTTTGTAAATCAACTTGCAATTATTCGTCTTGATGATGAAAAACACAAACAATATCCACCGAAAATGATTATACTTGAAACAGCTAAAATTCTATTTCGAACAGTAAATTAAAAGCTTAAATAATGTGTTAATAGTATTTTTTTTTGTTGTTGTTCAGGCTCAGATTACGTATGAACAACATTCCAATCGTTTGGCATCATCGTATGAACAATATGCGATTCAATATCTTCAAACAATTAAAACAATTCTAAAGAAACAGTATGAAATAAAAATTTATATATGAGAAAAAACAAAATACGAATTTTTTTTGTTAGAGATTTAAATGAATCATGTAAAATTCAAGAATTAAAACAAGATAAATTATTTTTTTTCTATCCTCAAAAATCGATCTATGAAAATAATGACATAAATAAAAAATTAATTAAACAATTACTTGAAGAATGTGACAAACTAACTCGACAATGTGATGAAATAAAAGTAAAATTATATTTTCTTCAATATTCTATGTAAATTTTTGTTTCTTATAGTTATTACCAGCACCAGAACCTCCAAAAATATCGAGTCCAATAAAAGAGGAAAAAGGTTTTCAATTAAATACGATTACTTAAATACATACTTTGTTTTAATAGGCTTTTATATTTCAAATATATTAAGTTCTACCAATATTGACAAAGAAGAAGAAGAAGAAGAACAAGAAGAAAAACAAACATTGGTAAGTAACACCCTTGTAGTAAAACTTTCTTAATTTAATATTTCTAGAATAATGATTCACATATATTTGTAACATCATTACCAAATAATACTTATGATGTTACTGATCAGATAATTGAACAAATTTCACCACCAATAATTATAACAATGTCATCCATTGAAGAACCTATTGAAACACCTATACCATCATTACCACCTATTGTTGATATGATATTTTCTCATATGAATAGTGTTAATCAATGGATCAATACATTTTATGTAGATAATGAAGGAATTCAAAATGATATTCATACAATTCGAGATCGTCTTGAGCGACTTAATCGAGCAACAAGTCAAATGATATTTTCAAATGTTAAAATATTTCAATCAGATTCAAATACAAATAATGGACATTTTTAACTTCCAGATTAATAAATGAAAAACAAAAATACATATTTATTTATTATATATATGTATTTGTGTGTGTGTGTGTGTGTGCTTGTTTCTTTATCCCTTATTTTCTATATCTCATTGGTTTTGCTCCATTTATAAGTGTTAATTCTTTTTCTCGAACATAAAACGGATCTTTTATGAACTTCTCTACCAAAAATATGAAGCGAAAAAAAGAAAAAAATCTAGAAGATATTTTTACTTCTAGATGATTTGGCTGAATGAGCCTCAGATATGGTCAGATAATTTATCAGTAATTAAAGTTCATACTGATGCTAAAACAGATTTTTGGCGTAAGACACGCAATGGTGCTGAACGAGATAACGGACATTTTTATTATCGATCTCTTCCAGGAGATGAACATTTTCTCGCAACAGTAAATGTACAAGGAAAATATAATGCTCGATATGATCAAGGTGGTTTAATGTTACGTATTGATGAAAAGAATTGGATTAAATGTGGAGTTGAATATGTTGATGGTAAACAGTTTGCTAGTGTAGTTGTTACCGTTAATGGATGGTCCGATTGGAGTATTGTTTCAATTGATTCACCTGATGTTTTAAAATTACGTGTTAAACGTGTAAAAGAAGCAGTACATATTGAATATGCTGAAGGTGAAAATGGTGAATTTAAAATGATGAGATTAGCATATTTTCCAGTGATCGATGAAAAACAATCTTTAATGGTTGGAATTATGTGTGCATCACCTTATAAAGATAGTCATGGATTTGATGTTGAATTTGAAAAATTCAATATCATTCAACAGTATGAATCGAATCAGTACTAATCAATGTTATTTTTTTTAAAGTATTTATAAAGAGCAAAAATTAACTTTTATTTTGATTGAAATAGAAAAACTCATTGTTACAATCTTTTCTTTTTTTTTAAGATGAGTTTTACATGGTTTAACGAACCTAAAAAATGGTCCGACAATTCATCAGTAATTACCGTTCATACAGATGGTAACACAGATTTTTGGCGCAAGACACATTATGGTTTTGAACGTGACAATGGACATTTTTATTATCGTTCTCTGCCAGGTGACCAATCCTTTACTGCTACAGTCAATATACGAGGAAAATATCATACACTCTACGATCAAGGTGGTTTAATGTTACGTATTGATGAAAAGAATTGGATTAAATGTGGAGTTGAATATGTTGATGACAAACAATTTGCTAGTGTAGTTGTTACCGTTAATGGATGGTCCGATTGGAGTGTCGTGTCAATTGATTCACCTGATGTTTTAAAATTACGTGTTAAACGTGTAAAAGAAGCAATACATATAGAATATGCTGAAGGTGAAAATGGTGAATTTAAAATGATGAGATTAGCTTATTTTCCAGTAATTGATGAGAAACAATCTTTAATGGTTGGAATTATGTGTGCATCGCCTGGTGAAGATGCACAAGGATTTGAGATTACTTTTCAAGGATTTAATATTATTCAAAATCAAGAAAAATAATAAATATTTTATTGTCAACAAGAGAATGTTAACTGAAATTTTTTTCTTGAAATAAAAATATATGTCATAATATATCGTTTTTCGTCAGTACAAAGAATCTTGATTAATCTAGAATAAAATGCATTATCATTATAACAAGTATAAATTCGTTAATAAGATTGTGGGAAAGAAAACATATTGTTATTGACCATAACTTCTGATCATCAGGCTACAATAAAATAATTTAGATCCATAAACTTCTACATATATACTTCCATTACATTCATTTTATTTTTGGTTCTTTAAAATAAGATAGAAATGCAATTTTCAATTATTGTATTATTGATTTGTTTTACTATAATCCATAGTCAACCAACTTCACCTAACGGATATCTCAGAAAAATGACGCTCTCAATATTTTTGGAATATCTCGCTCAAATCGTGATGTAGATACTTGAGCTATTTGAGGGTGTGGGGGTTGGTATGTGATGGATATAATATCCATACTCACATCCACTCATACCCCAAGTCAAACATATTCTGTCGTTAACAACCGTTAATGAAGATATACGACTGCCGTATATAGTTAATCTTAGAAAATCATAATGAACTAAAACTTCAATAGATGTACTGTATTTTTTAGTATTTATATTTTTATTATCATTGTCCAATATTATTATATCATTTCATTTTATTTCATCTTATCTTATTGTATTGTATTTTGTTTATTGTATTATATGGTTCTATTTTATTTTATGTATTCTCTTTCTCGTAGAGAAAAGTCTTGCAAATATAAATTGTCTACTTGCTTGCTTGTGTGTCCGCACTTCATTGATTAGTTTAAAAATTAGATAAAGATATAAAAGGATTTTTCTTTGAAATGGTTGACCGAAGAGTAATCGTAGTCGAGGAACTCGAATCTGGTGTCAGTCTTTTAAAACTTCTTTGGGATCATTTTTGTACTCAAAGGAATACTTTTTTACAAAAAAATATTTATAAGGGTTTACCAAAGGATTATCGAGATCGAAGAACTCAAATCCGAAGTCAGTTTTTGTACTTGTTTGATTAGATAGTTTACTGGCAGTGAAGACACGCCGATTCTATGAGAAAGAGCTGGCTGCGTCTCTAGACGAGCGTTACTTGTATAATACATTAAAATATCGAAAGAAAGTGAAGACGTCATCAACTTTGCTTAATAATTTTTCTAGTATAATTATGGAGATGCCGTTTCCTATTTACAAAAAGTTTGAATATATTACCCTTATTGTTTTACTCAAAGACATATACTTTTTGAAAAGTAATCTACTTTTTCTTATTGTAATTACATCAAATCTAGAACTATCCAAAAGTTGTCTGTTTCTATCATTTCTTATAAGAATAATTAGAAAGATTATCCAACTAACTTCGTCTTCTGCTACATACAGTGTATGTTACAGCAGCATAGAAACAAGAGAAAAGTAAAATAAAGCAAGTTTTTAGTGGATAAATGTTTTTCCCCGAGAAAAAAACAGTTAGGAATGTGTTGTTATGATAAACAATATTAAAATCAAGTCAGAATACTGAAAAAACTGTTTGTTTTTATTTATCTAATAAACAAGATGTTTTATCTTTCATTAATACTAGCATAAATAGATATGAGGGTGGGTGTGGGTGTGAATATATTTGTTTTTAAGTAACATATCAACAAAGGAAAATAGTCCTTCAGAAAGGATATGTATTTTTGGAAAATTAAATAAAAGTCATGACTATTTTTTTAATTAGATTGAAGAAAGGAAATGAGAAAAAGAAGAAAAAATAGTGTTTATCACTGAACAGATTCTTTTTCTTTTATTTTCACTTAAATTCACTTCATCAACTTGCAGTTTAGTTAGTAATGGCTTCAACAAGAATTTGTTTATGGCTTATATATATGAATATTACGCACTCGGTTGGAGAAAATACACATTCAATTCTAATGTCTTTAATCACTGGTTCAAAATTTGAATCTGCTAATACAACTTCTTTACTATTCGCTAACATCACTACGTCGACTATTATGAAGTGTCAAATGGCTTGTTTAGCCCAAGTTTATTGTAGAGCAGCCAGTTTTCATCAATCAACTTCTAATTGTGAATTATTTACTGATATGTCAAATGAAACTGCAAATATGCAGACTGATACCGACATTACTACTATGATTGTTATTGCTGGAACACGATCTCCACCTGGTTAGTATGACTACACTAAATTTAGAAAGAAAATGATATGAATATTTGAGAGAGAGAAAAATGTTTTTTTCTTTTAGTAAGCTTTATTCATAATTAGCTTGTTGATTAGGAATATGTATAGAGATGGGCCATGTAATGGTTTCCTTTTTTTATTGACTTTGTAGTATTGGAAATATCGAATATGAACAATAAAACAAAAGATTAATGCATCTGTTCATATTAGTTGATATAGAAGTAATAAATTAAGGAGAGTACTATTCAAAGGTAAAAAAAGGAAGAAACAAAAACTGTTTTATCTTGTTGTTTACTTATAATAAATAATGAATGCTGCAGAAAAATTTTCTTTTTTTTTCTCTTCTTAACTCTGCAGTAAACTCTTCGTCATTTTCTGAATTGATAAGAAATCATGAATGGATCAGAACAACGTTCGATTGCATACCGAATAATAGCGTTGACGATATTTTTTGGCACTCTGTTTCTAGTTTAAGTTAGATTAGGCACATACTTTTTGTAGTGTATGAATTATATTAATTAATGTAAGAATATAATTGATGGAAATAATAAGTTTAGTATAAGTCATCCTCGGTGGTAGTAGATATTGCAAATAACAGTTTATTCTGCTTTTCACTTTTGATTAAATTCCAATCAATGAGAAATATGTGTTGTATTTGAAATGTCTGAGCGTGGGTATATGGGTGGTGATCAGTTCTTCTGTATTGATATCCACACCCACATCCTATATATATATTGTTAGGAAGGGGACAAATATTAGATTATAAGCAAAACTTTATCAAGTTCTTTAGTCTCATACTAATGCCATTTTCGTAAACTAGGACCGACTATAACAACAGCAACAACAATATCATCATCATCACCATCATTATCATCATCAACAGCATCAACAACAAGATCAACAACAACTAAAACATCAACAACAACATCAACAACAACAACAACAGGTGAGTTGTTTATAACTTTTCAAATTATTAGAAAAAAGCGTATGCAGTTAGTGTAATATACAGACTACAATAATGTAATTTGCTAAAACGGTTTGCAATTTGTCGCCATTAAATCCTATATAATGTTTCTAGTTCAGTTCATCATAAGAATATAATCAGAACAGCTGAGTTATTATATTTCAAAAATATGTTTATTTGTACAACGAATTCATAATAGAGGTGTCGGATGAATTATTTTTATACAGATTGGTATTGGGTTTGAGTGCGTATGGATCAATTTTAGCGAAACATAGTAGGTTACATATATAGGCATATGTGTATTCAGAAACAAAGATGTTTAATTCAGTTTTAACTTAATTTACAAATTAAAGTTCTATATCTATGAGTAGTCCTTCATATCAAACTCAATTTTTTTACATGAATAGCTGCCGATCTTATGCATCAACACATATCATATTTTCTAAAGAAATAAATGCAATAGAAATTAGTATGCCATATCTAAGAACAATTCCCACCCACTTTACAATATCACATATCTAACTGGTCTATCAGTATTGGATAATAGAATGGTTGTTCTTTTTCTGTTTTTTAATAGTATGTACTGTATCTTCTCAATCGACATGGTCACAAACTGCTACTACTATATTTGGCAGCCAAGCGGGGACATCTGGTTCTACCCTTTCACTTCTTAATTCTCCAGTTGGAATGTATTATGACCAACCTAATAATCGATTAATCGTTGCTGATACGGGAAATTATCGTATTCTACAAATTTCTCTCAATAATCCACCTGCAGTTGCAACAGTAGTTGCTGGAAGTAATGGTCAGGGTTGCAACATGAATCAGTTTAATCTTCCTTCTGGAGTAGGTCGTGATAGTTCTGGTCAATTATATGTATCAGATTACAATTGCAACCAGGTCGTTAGATTTCCACCAAATTCGAATTCGACGACATC